CCAGCCCCCGGCTGGACGTGCGTGGTGGGAACACGAGGAGGAGGAGGAGGAGGAGGTCACCACCGAAGGTCCGGCTGTCGCCCTGGCAGCGGAGTCGGGTGGCACACCAGCGGCTGTTTCCCCTGGGCAGCCGGCACTGGGAGTGGTGTGTGTTTGTTGCGTCCCCGGGGGGTACTGGTCGAACTTTACTGCCTGGATAACGCTGAAGTCAGCATATTCCTGCCAAACAAGGCCTGGTTCTGTGTCAGACGCTGTCCAGACACAGGTGAGGGTGTTTCCTACATGAGCTTTAAAATTGGAGCTCTTTCCTGCCCAGCTGCTGATCCAACCCCTCGCCGCTCTCTTGGCAACTGTAAATATTTGGTAATTGATTGGTGCAGCCCTTCTGGCCTTGAGTGCTTACCCAGCCTTCTGCCAGAGCCGCCAAGCCGAGTGAACGCGCACAAACAAGAACAAAATGAAGTCTGGGTGCCCAGGGACACTCGCCTGGGACTCTGCTCTGCTCTCCTCAGCTACGTACTAAAAGCAGTAAAGTCCTAAACCAAACCCTTCGTAACTCCCTGCCTGGCTTGCCATTGCAGATTGCTCAGACTTTGTAGGAGCCAGAGGGAAAACAAAATCCGAGGCTCGGAGCAGCTGAAAGAAAGCAGGATTAAAATAGCCCGGGAGGGACCGAGGGGGGTGAGGGAGTTTGGTGCTGGCGACTGCCAGCACTCCCTGTTTCTGCGCACTCCCGCTGCCCTTCGGCTCTCAGCTGACCGGTCTGGGGAGCTCAGCCAGGGGAGGGGAAGGAGGAGGAGGAGGAGGCCTGGCAGCCCACACAGTTGCTTTGGGTCAGGGCTGGAATTGCTGTGTTGGAGAAAGTAAATACAGCTTGTTTTTGTCTTGGAATCATTACACAACAGGAGCAGGAAGCGATTGTTTACAGTGCAGTTGGAGAGGGCTGATAGAAAACGTCACCAGCGACACCGTACCCTCAGAACGGCTTAATCGTTAAGGCCTCAAAAGTTTGTAGAGGTGGAATGGTTCCAAAAAAACAGAGAAAAGGCAGAGTCAGGAATCTTAAGTGTTTACAAAAGGCACCCAGGCTCCCGTTTCACAGCAAGTGGCTTGCTTCAGCCTCGGTCTGCCACCCCTTGCTGAAGATTCTGCTTTCCTCAGCACATGCTTTCTCCCTTCTTGTATTTTTGAGATTTGTTTCCCGTGAATTTCTTCTGCTTGTTCATCTGCTTTGTCTTGGGTCTATACTGAATAAAGTTTCTGGATTTCTCTTCATCGTTGTTGAGGACTTCAGAAAGAGCCTGGCTGGGAAACGCCAGGAATTTGAGCCAAGGTCTGTTGAGTGCACCGAGTGCTGACTCCTCCCGTGGTGTGCCATTAGCGGCGAGGGGGTGATGCGCTGTGACCCGGTCCGGTCCTTGGCAGCACTGACTCCTCCCGTGGTGTGCCGTTAGCAGCGAGGGGATGATGTGCTGTGACCCGGTCCGGTCCTTGGCATGTCTGCAGCAGAATCTGCTGGGTCTGGGTGCGTGGGGTAAAATCTGCCAGTAGCCGTCTGCTTGCACGTGCTGAACCCGATTGCAGACGCCGAGGCGGCTGTCTTCTGGGTAGTCAGATGCATTGTAGGAATCCAAAACAATTCCCAGAACAAAGCTGTGGTCTGGGTCAGAGGAACAGGGTGTCCTGGCTGTAGCGAGCGTGCTGCAGCCTGACGATGCCGTTGCGCTTCCGTAAGGAGCATGAGTCTGTAGGAGCGCTGGGCAGCGCTGACACCTCCTGCTGTTCTGAGGTGGTTGGCTGGAATCGGCCACTCTGCTGCTGCAAGGCTGCCAGCAGCCTTCGAGCTGTGTTTTCAGTGCAGTGCGTAACCAGTGTGGCTGTGGACATGGACCTTAAACCTCGACTGGTTGGCTGCGTGCCCCGGCATCGTGCCGGAATGGAGGCACCTTGCAGTGGGACACATGCGTGTGTCCTGTGGGTCAGCTGCAGCCCCTGGCTGGGTGACAAACACAGAGGTTTGACCTAGGCCTCTCTGGACTGAGAATTCCCATCTCTGGTTGAGTCCTCTGGGACATCTGCCTTGAGTTCTGTGAAGCCACTGCTCTTGAGAAGGAAGGCAGCGGTAGATGGAGGCCGTGTGCGGAGCCGAATTCCCTCTCTTCTTGGCTCTGGGGAAAAGTGAAGCGTTGCCTTCCCTGGGGACTCATCCAAGTGTAAGCCAGCCGTGCTTGTACCACCTGAAAGACCAACAGTGGGCAAATTGTCTGTCTCGCTGACCATCCTGTGCTTGATGTAACGGTTTTGCTTGCTGGTGGCTTGGAGAAGCATCTTGATCTTGATCTTGATCTGAGGTTGGTTAGTGAGTCAGCTTGTCCTCACGCTCTGTGCTCGGGGCATTCGTGCTGTAGCAGCTGCGCTTTATGAGCTGGGGTTCCTTGAAATGAGGCTGCTGTTGCAAGTGGGTGCTTAGCTGCCTGTGTCTGGTTGTATTAATTACTGAACTGAACAAATAACCGGAACAAATGCCAGCTAGACATGTAGAACACAGATATTGATTTTTTTATTATTACTCTTTTATATAGCTAAAGGTCCTGATGGCGGCCAGGAATAATAAAACCTGCATGTCCTTTGTTCGTTACTCAATTCTTTCTTCCCTATGAAAATGTCAGATATCCCCTGGAGCCAGAAGGGTGGTGAATCCAGGAGCTGTAGGACTGGTGGACTCTGCTGCCTCTGTCACCAAATCGCCGTGAGCCACAGCCAAGTCATCTCCCTTGGCTTCTGTGTTCCTTCCTTGGGCAGTCCCAGTGGGGATCGTGGTCAGGAGAGTCACTTGGGAGGTTTTCTGGTGTGTCACCCTGCTTGTGTGACGTCCTGCAGTCCACCTGCAGTGTGTCAACACCTCCGGCTGTGGTCATGCGGTTGTTTGCTGCCTTTTGTCCTCAGAAGGCACTTTGGAAGTAGGCTGTGGGAGAAAATGAAGGAATCAATTCCAGGCTCTCGTGTCTGGCACGTCTCCCTGAACAGGCCCTGCAAATCCATGCGTGTCCAGGCATGTTTGTGCACAAATAGCAATGACCCGGGCTGTGCAAAGTCTCTTTCTGCGTGCACGTGTACAGTGTTCTGTGTTAAAATAGGGTTCTGTCGGGAGTGCCAGTTCTTTCTTTGAGCAATTTGAAGTGTCCTGAGTAGTTCTGAGAAATTTGCGTGCATACCTGCTGTCTTGGGGGCTTACAATTGTGAAGGTTGTCAAGACAGAAAAGGTCAAACGGAAGCTCGAGGGAAACTGTTGTGCAGGACAGCCTCCTGACGGCTCATCCGGAGGGAACCTGATGTACTTTTTCCAAGGCTAGTGAAACTGTGATTAAATGTTGAGCAAAAAACCCACCTCTTTATCTGGAACTCTGATGCAAATACTCCACGTGCCATCCAATCGTGGCGCAGAAGGTACTGCCTGTTTGCCCACCGTGCTCAGGAGGTGTAGTGAGTTGGAAGCCCTGCTTGAAGCTCTTTGAATGATGGAGGTCAGTGCTTATCCTGCACGGCCCACAGCAGGGGTGACGTGGCACTGTGCAACCAGAGAATGAGCATCTTGCCGTGAATTTAGGCTTCACAGTTGTTGTGTGGCTCTGCTTGGTCACGAGCTGAGCCCTTATCATGGATTTGCCAGATACAAATACTCATTCCTGGAGCCAGGATCAAAATCATACTCAGTTACATTTTGAAACTGCTAAAGAAAATGAAGGTAGTTCCTGTTTGTCTTTTAAAATCCATTTTCAAGCTCTGCTCTGGAGCCGGGAAGATTGGGAACTTACCCAAGTGAACAAAACTGCTGAGGTCTTTCTGCAGTCACAGGGCTGCAGGAGCTAGGCATTCAAAAATCCTTCCACAGATTGCACATCTTCTAATGGAGCTGTTACAACGAAATGGGCAGTCACGCGGGCAGGTCATCGGTTGCTCCGCGCTCACATTGGTACCACCTTCCTGTGACAGCGGGGCGTCAGGCTCGACCTGCACCATGTTGCAGAGACACGCTTTCTATCAGGCAGTGGGTTTAAAACAGCGTAGTTTTGGTCCTGCATCGTTCGTCCTGTCTGGAGCCCCCCAGCTTTGTGGACAGAAGAAGTAAAATTGGACCAATGATCAGAATCCCGGTCAAGTTTCTGCAGCGCTGCTGCCCTGCGTAGCCTGGGACAACAGCCCTTGCTTAGTAGTGAGGACAGCTTTCCCAGGGCTCGGCTGGCCTCGCCAGCTCTGCCCGCCTTTCCTGGGTGTGGGCGTCTCCTCTTCCTCCTGCAGTGCCACCAGCCCAAGAATGAGCTCCTCAGCATTGGGCAAGGACAGGTCAGGTCAGCTGCTGTGTGATCCATGACACATACGCGGGGGTGTGTTTCCTGGTGGTTAGAGGTGTCTCGCCTTAGGGTGGTGTGATGTTACAAAAATATTTTTTGGCATTATCTGGAATGACCTGTATAACTTGGCTGTGTCTTCAGCAGCTGCCAGCTCATCCCAGACATATCCTGATTTCAAACCATCCAATTCCTCCTCTCCTTGCAGAAAATCTCTTGGAGGGAGGAACACGTTCTAGCAGCCCTCTGCCCTGGGACTGACTGCAGCAGCCTCTTGAAAAAACATGTCCGTTTTTGCATCTGCTTCGGATCTGAGGCAGACCCACCCCCGAGCTGGCTGGCAGAGTGTCTGGTGGATGGCAGTGAGAAAGCCGTGGGGCTGGCAGCCTGCTGCCAGTGCTAGGGACTGCTGCACGCTCCCTTGGTGCCATGGGCAGCTGCGCCCAGGACCCTGGGACGTGGGACTGCAGGGAGAGGCAGGAGCTCATGGCTGAATTTCTACTCTCTGCTTTGCTTTCCACACGCAGCTCTTGCTCAGCTTGGGAGCTGTTGACCTGGTAGCGCATTGATGACGTTTCCAGGTGGTGTTTTTTCTTAATGGTGTTTCCTTAACAGCTTTTCTGTTGGTCACAAGTAGCAGGGCTGGTCGTAGAGTCCATCTGCTGCCCCAGGGCAGCACTGGTGCCTGACCAGTGTTTGTCTCGTGTCTCCTGAAAAATGCTGTCCCTGACGCAAGTGCACTGTTGAAGAAGTTGCATGTGTTTTCCTCCTGTTGCACCAGCTGTATCTTTTGTCTGACTGAGCTCTTTTGCATCCAGGGCTGTCCTTTCGTCGTGTGTCTGCACAGCACCCAGCACAGCAGAGACCCTGTCTCCCGTAGCCGGGGTTCCTGGGCACTGCTGGTAGAAAAGGTTGATGCTCGGAAAGTCTGGTGTAAAATCTTCTACTGTTCTGCTTAACTGTCATGATGATCTCATCCTGCATTGCCATGGGATACGTTGTGTGCCCACATCTTTGGGTGAACAGCTTGGGGAGGACCTCAGTCAGGAAAACAGCTGAGACTCTGGTGTTTTGGGCAATTTGCAAGCTTTGCTGTTGGTACTTAACAGCTGAAACAGCAGTTGGAGGAGAAACAGGCAATTTCCTGGCATATGCAATGCTACAAAAATACTCCTGCTTTTCAATAGGCCCTGGCAGTGATATTTTGCTAGGCACAACCAATAAAAAGTGTGTGGTTTTTGTCTTGCTGCCATCTCGAGCTCTCGCATCTTGGCACTGGGGGAAGCCTGGCTTCCCTCGCGGCAGACGTGTGGTGCCCACACCTGGGAGCAGGGACAGTGCTCTTCCCTCTGTGTGCAGCTCGTCAGTCACTGCTCAGCTCCTTCAGAGCAGCAGCTGGCTGTCACCCCTTCACCCCCTCTTGCTTGCAGTCCCCGAGCTGCTGAAATCAGGCATAGTGTTTTGCTTCTTGCAGTGAGGAGGGGCCAGAGAAAAAAATGTAGATACGGACTGGGTTGTGTAAACAGTTCTGTTTCACTTTAGGTGTAGGCTAAGGATTAACTATAGCCAGGTGCTGCAGAGAAGGGAAAAGGCTTGACCTCAGTTAGCACAGCTGTAATTTGGGAGAGCTGCAGGAGAAGAACAAGGCTTGTAAATCAGACCTGTTGCGTATGAAATGTGAGCGTGCAGGCACTGCTAGTGAGAGGTGGAGGGAGCGTACCTGTCTGCAGTGCTGTAAGTGACAGGAGCTGGGGTGCTAGGCGGGCATCTCCATCGGTGTCTCTCTGAGTTGCCCTTTAACAGCATTCTCTTTATTCCTGTGACTCAGATTAGATTACGTATACATTAAATTAAAGGTGGTATTTATAGCCATTCCTTGCTGTGTGATGTTGAAGATGCTGTCATGAGACACAGGACCAACCTCTAGCTGCAACTCCAGGCTGAGGAGGCTGTGAGTGACCATCACCTATTTCTTGCAGGAGATCTCTGGCGCCTGAACTGTTGTGTGCACTGAACTATTGATGCAGGATAGCTTCTTCTGATTCCCAAGCCTGCTTGGGTGGATCTCCAAGGCTAGAAGGGGACTGAGTTTGCTCCTTGGCAGAGCTTCAGATGTCCTGGAAACTTCTGCCTGAATCTTCAGGCACCTGAACAGTTTAGTTGGGGTTGCTCCCAACTGCCTTTCTGAATAAAGTTTCTGAAGTGGTCATCTCCTGGGCAGAGGAAGAGGTGCAGTGCTTTAGGTGCTTGTACTTGCAATCACGGGTACCTACGGAAGGGACCCAGCAGCCCCTGGAGCAAAGCAACATCTGCTGTCATTGCATTGTGGTCACCTGCAGATCAGCCACCTCCTACAGAGTCCTCTGGGATTTGAAAGGCTGCAAAAGCCCTGGGCCTGTCTGACCAGAGGGGCCAGGTCCTGGGCACATGCAGGGCTTACAGAGTGGGACAGGGGAGCTGCCACTACGGTACATCAGGCTTGAGGCTAGGTGGGGAACTT